CTGGCCGCCCCAGCAGGGCGCGGCGCCGGAGGGGGCCGGGCAGAGCGTGGGCTCGGGGCTGGGCGCACCCCCCACGGACAGGGGGACGTGGCCTTGAGGAGAACCGGTACCGCAAGAACACTGAGATCCCTGAGTGCCAGGCGCAGCGTGAGAAGCCCTAATTCAGTTTCCCTGCGCCAGGTACATAGCGAAAGCTCAAGAAGAAAACTGTTTCATGAGTGAGTGGATGGCTGAGTAAGTGAAGCGAGGTTAGGAACCCGGGCACGTGATCTTCCACTCTCAGATCTGAAGGGGCGAGGGCTCAGAACAACCAGCCCAGGCTGTCCGGCTGCTGGACACACCGTGTCGGGGACCTTTGGATGAATACAGACCGAACCTAGGAGACTAGGTCGCAGGCCAAGCTGGGGAAACAGATCTCAGGGACACATCATCAGAGAACCACCACCAACTCTGAACTGAGTGGTTCTGTCAGCCATAAGAGGCGGGGGAGAGAGACCTCTGTGGGCTGTAGCAGTCAAAGGAGACTTTCTGGAGGAGGGGGCTTCGACAAGTCTCCTGTTCAAGCCTTCCATCCTATAGCTCAACACTGCTACCAGGAAGCCTGCAGGAAGAGAAAAGGGAGTGATTCTCCTCCTCCCTGCACATGGGGCATCTCCCTCTCCCAGTCCATCAGCCAAGCTCCCCACTATCCCCCGGACCACGAGCCTTCCAGAGAGAGGATCTGCCTTCATGCTCCTCTAGGACACCTCTGGCCCTGAATCAGTGAGGACGTAGCTGGCAATAGGCATCTCATCCATCCTCTGATGGAATGTTTTTCCCTCAAGTCTCCATATGAGGGCTCCTCATTACTCAGGCATGATCCATGTGTCGCCCCCTCGCCTTCCCCAACTAAAGAACTCTGCCACTCTCAGTCACTTTCCTTACCATTATTCTGTTTTATTTTCTAGAATTAGTCTGAGAGTAGCCTTTCCCCCTTGTTTATGTTCTGCCTCCCCCACTAGAACATAAGCTCTGTGAGGGGAGAGAGCAGGTCAACTCCACTCACCATGCTGTCCCCAACCCCTGGGAAAGTGCCTGGCACATGACAGACTATACAAAAATACTTGTGGAATGGATGAATCCCTCTGCTTGCCAGCAGAAGCACTCCACTAAGATCCCTGGGAGGAAAGCCTCTGGACCGCCCTTTATTTCCCTCCCCTGCCTTCCAGCCCCCACCCCATTGCAGGCATCACATCCTTAAATGTCTGGGACTCCAGGCGAGCTAGAAATATCCGTGACAGCTGCTCTCTGGGGTCTGGAGAGAAAGACAGCCCCCTTCCCCACTTCCAGCCTCTCAGATGCCAGGATCATGTGCCCAGCCAGCTGCAGAATGGACATGGCAGGTCAGGGGTGCTGTCTTATTTATGGGCGTATCTTCCAGAGGCTCGCTCCCAACCGATGACTCATGGGTCAGAAATTCATGGGCTCTAAATGGCAGCACACTCACACATTTGCACACATCTCTGCACTCTCTTGCACACTTACTTTTACACAAGCATGTACACACCCTCCCGTGCACTCATATGCCCCATGAAGTCTGCTGGAATGAGGTCACTGGGAGCTGCTGCTGGCATCACAATAAATCTGAAGGCTCTGTATAGACGAGACTAACTCCCGTGTGTGTGTGAGGTGTGAGGCCCTTGGTAAGATTCGCAGACAGTGGCTGAGGGGAGGCTCAGGCCCATCCTAGAGCGTCACCCTCCCTGGAAGGAGGAGGAGCTGGAACATGGGCCAGGGAATGGGGGGGGGTGATGCCCCAAGGTAGAGGACAGCAGAGATGTCACAGGCCCCATGTGGTCTAAACCGGAGGCTGTGGGCAAAGCAAAGGAGAGATGGAGAAGGTCAAAGAGAAGCGAAGGCCAGAAACAGGTGTTGCTTGAGGAGCCCAGAGGCAGCAACAGGCTCTGCAGCTCAGGGCAGCCTCAGCCCAGGGGGCGCCACAGGAAGGAGATAAGCATTAGGGGCCAAGGCAGGAAGTTTAGGACAGGGCAGAAACTTCCCCTGACCCGTGAGGGTTGAGGAGACACTGGGAGTATCAATAGGGCTGGGATTAGATGAAACAAGTGGGGCATCCTTGGTGTGAAATGTGAGGAGGCCCAGGCCCTCAGGGTCCTGCAGTGCCAGCCCTGCCCTTGCTTGAGCCTGAGAATGAGTCTCGCTGAAATTTTGCACACTGGGCAGCCTCCCTAGCCCATCCAGGGAGCTAGGTACTATGGAAGGGGACACCACTGTCAAGTGTCAACTGGGTGCAAGTCTCTGCCCAGGACCTAGAGAAGGCGATGTGACTGCATGGGCCCTAGAGAAGCCGAGAGTGGCCCCTCTGCAGGGTCCTGTGCCTCAGAAATCCTTTTCTGGCAGGGGCTGTGATTAGACCCAGTTTACAGAAGCAAAGAACTCCAGCA